TACGTTATTTTCACTCTGTGAATAAAATAGTCATCCTATCAATTCAAGTTAAAGGGGGCTATTGGCTATTCAGACAAGTACAACTCAATCGCGTGGTGTGCAGCTCGGACTTATCTTATTAGAAAATATTTCGCATCAAATATCGGTTTTGTAATGTGGTCTATATTCGATCGTTGAACAGAAAATTCCTTTTGCGATTTGGTGACTTGATTACACCCCAAGTTGCTGAAAACTCCATCCCAACCGAAGCTACGTAACTGCTCGGTGATGAAGGGCCATTGGCATGACTGATATTTCATGGATCCCGTATTACAAATGTAGCTGCCAATACAATTAGGTAGGTTCGTGGAAAATTGTTGATTATATGTGTATGCGTTATAATTCCATCAGCATGTCGAAAATGAAAATAAAAATGGAGTACTACTTTTTCAATAATTTGCAGCTTATGCATTTTTTCACTGGTTTTATGGTGGATATTATTTCTTCATATCTTACACCTTTGCGCGGGGTTAATGTATACTATTAAAGTTATTAACTTGAATGTTGTTAAAACATCTAAAAAACAATTGACATTTAACGAGTTTTAATTTCATATTTTATAAATCATTTGAATGTAAAGACCATTCACAGCTTCTTGAAAACGTATATATGATGTATATGAGAATGAAAAGTTTTGACAAATAAAATGTTAAATATAGAAAACCCAATTGTTTAACACGAATGTGGACTTTGTAGATTTTGCCAGAATTTCTGTATTATCCCAATATAGTCAGAATTTGTGATGAATGTGCCTTTTTGATGCGATAGTACTACATTCTTAACTTTACATGGATTGTCACTGAGAAGATCTGGTCTGAAATAATCCTGGTTTGCGGTCGGGATAACTCCTGCAATCTCCATCATGAATACCATGGAGACCGCCTTAAACTGGTCATCGCTAATGTCATGTTTATACACTGCCTTTGTTAGTCGGGTAGCAACGCTCTGTGACATCATCACTATTGCGAGTTCCACGGGTTCCACGTTAGCATGTACGCGACTCGAAGATACTAGTAATTTTCCGTCCGATTTATCTAAAAGGTTTATAGCGTTCTTGTAATGTAGAATAGCGTAATCCATCATTATCGCCAACCTCTTTGCATTATGACAAAATTGATTAGCCCAGTTCACACTTGAGACGAATGGATCAGGTATTGTAGTATTTTGAATCGTGTTAATGATGATGTCATTATGTTCCGAATTTTCTTTTACGAGCATTTCTATTTCTTCTGGTCCTGAACTATGCATTACAAAAAGCGTCAGCGCATTATTTTGTAATATTTGTTTGTTTGCCCACGTAGTGCGAAAAAGATTTCTGAGTGCGTACTCGGACGGCGATGAGCGTAGCATAACCAATAGTTCCAATTCCAATGGTGTACCTTTACCAAAACCCTTGCAGTTAGTCCTCGGATTAAGAAAACTCGCCATATCGCCTCTATTTGTCTTACTGTGGTGTGCCGTTTTCTTTCTTAGTGGAAGTTCAATTGCTAAATCATCCATAAACACGAGCTCTTTTTCGGATAATATATACTCGTCTCTTATCGGCGCCAGATTGTACATCATTGTCAACATACTGACGACGCCGAATATTACTATAATTCCAAATACTTCTGCTGGGTGCGTTCTCAACAACCGTCTGACAATTTTAGTGACCATTCTTGAAGAGAACGACGTGTTCATGCCATGTGTAAAGCCGACGCGTCTCCTCACTAACACGGGGCGACCCACGCGATTATAAAGCATGGTTAGTTACGCTGAATTAATCCCGTATTTAATACCACCACTATCAGTGTTCCCAGAAGTCCTACGTGTTTGCTGATGTGAATGAAATACATTATTGCGATTAATTAATTAATTACGTTAATTAGATTTTTACATTTGTACACACTGATGAATTGTGATTTTCCCCTTAGAATATGTATCGCGGTAAGAACATGTTATTCCACTGACACGCCCATGTAGACAACTAATGTTAATAAGGACGTTATTATATTGTATTCACCAACATTGATCGAAAGCCACATACACCGACTCACTCCTTCAAGTTAAAATCTGGTACCAGTTGAAATATCGTTGGTTTGACTTTGTAGAAATTCTAATGTTAATATTATTGAACTGGAATAAACGTGTCACAAATTGTATGTGTATTCATATTACTTACCTTACACCGAATAATACGGCTGTGACGTATGACATGGAGATGAATAACGGGATAGTTAAGTGTCCATTATTGTTGCGGTCTGAATAAATAGCTCATGTTTGATTTGCAACTGTACTTATTTGCTGTCTAGGAAACAAAGACTATGTGACCAAATTCGCCAAAAATACTGTACTTAATAATAATACAAATCAGAAACGGGAGTTAGTCATTTACCAAATATTAACATGACAACAGCTTCTGGACATCTGTTGCGGAGCAAGCAACCCGTCAGCAGTTCGATGACATTCAACAGCGCCATCACACGATATCAGTTGTTCACATTCTGAGTCAGGATTTTGCCACGCTACGAACATTTAGCAACACGTTTATGTTATACTAGTTTGACGCGAGAAGTTCCTGTTATAATTAATGCAACGCAAGACCGTGTGAAATAGTGGATAATGTCACCTAACTATAGTTGTTTGGTCGGCTAATAGTTCAGACAGTTCGTACTGCTATCGCGTTCACATATTACTAAAACAAATGTCCCAAACTCTTCCAAATATAGTAAATCGTGCATAGATGCGCTTCCATGATGGGAATGTGCAATGTTCATGCAATTTGCATCGCTGTTTTGTTTACCTGATTTTTTGTTCGAATGCTGTTATCATGGTAATGGGTCTACAAAGGTAGTTTTGGTTTGGTGGTCGGTACATGGATTGAAAACGCGGCTATTACTAGTAGTACCCTGCAATTTCTCTCTGTTATACAATGCAACGTTATACAACGGAAACCCCGACACAATTTACTACCAATTTTCGAGAATAAAACAACTGTATAAAAATGATTAAAACGCATGGTAAAGGAACTACTGAAAGCTGTTATTCATGATACAAGAACTATTCACAATAATTTTTGAAATTTTTGTAATATCATAGTGTTCTTTCTGACGATGTATATCATTTCAGATAACATAAAAAAAGATGGTTATCTATAATTCATAATGTTATAGTCCCAATAAAACTGATATTGTAAAATTATTAATTATTATTATTTTAACAATTTGTTTCTAAATCGGATAACTGTTTTCTAAATTGAACGTTTATAATATTGTATTTGTTTCAATGTCGGACGAATCACGCACAAACAGTATATTTTAAATTCCAATACACCTTGGAGAACTTGCTTCGTTGTCTCGCAGCTGGAATTGCTACTTTCAGATACATTATTATCTAGCCTCGGTTCCAGTCTCTTGCCGCTGCACTACATCACACCGGGGCTCTGGTTTGGGCGCACGGCGAGCCGCTTTTGACGAGAGTGTGTGTTCCTGTGTAACAACCAGGAACGACAACTACATAGAGACTAGAAATCGAGTCTGAATATTATCCAACAAACATCTGATATTCGAATTGAGCAAGGTAGACTGCAAAATGTTATTACTGCAACTAATTAGAAGATGAACTGCATTTTTCACAGAATGTAAATTATACACAGAAGCAAGAAAGAAGCTTTATTCAATCTATTCACAGAAAATTGAGAATTTTAAATTGTTACAAAGCAAAGACAAACTTATTTACAATGAATGCAAATTGTAGACAGACATCAAAAGAAGTCATTCATTTCATTGAAATAGCATTTTCTATTAGAAACAAAAATAAGCAGTAAACTGATTTTTCTTTAAAGACTTGATTGTCTCCATTTTATTACTTTATTTACATTTTTCTGCTCTAATATCTTATTTATATTGATAAACTTGCATTCCTACTTGCTGTCTATTAACAGATCACTCAACAATAAATTAACCCATGAATAGGGATTCCTGCAATATTAGTACCAGTAGTACATATTCTGATAGCATTACATAAAATAAAAAAAGTTACCAAAAAATCATACAATATACTAGCATGCTGACAAATGACCATAGATGCCCGTTTATTGACACTGCCATGACTGATAATTCAAAACAATGAAGTAGGACAATCAGAGTTAATTTAAGCTTGATATTTAATTATTTGATGTTTTTTTTTAAAAAGTTTTCCTGTTTTTTTAGTCATCTCATTTGAATGACCACTAGATAAAACTGTTTAATGCATTGTGCTTACCAGTTATAATAATAATAATCTTTATTTCAATTTCTTTTTTGGTTGTAATACATGTAATAAAGTTTTTTGTTTTTTATCACAATACAACAAAATATGTTAAAATAATAAAATGTCTACCGAAATACATATGCTATCAACATAAAAATTAAAATATAGATAATAATAAAGATTTAATCTGCAAGAGATTTTCTTTTTTCCAATGCTGTTTGTATGTAGTGTAGTACTCCAAGTATACATTGCTTGTTTGTGTTGTTCATAATGTACATGAACCTTTGTGTACTGCTGACTGAATCAAATTTCTTCATATGAGAAAACAAGGAGTACAGCTGTATATAGTGGACATTGTGTGATAAAATGAATTTCATCTTCAATTACTAAATTATTATATTTAGTACAATGTTATTTTCAGATGACTGATAATATTCTTGTAAGAAAAACTATGAGAACGTTTGAAATCAGTTTTTTTTTATTCTGTAATAAAATAATACAAATATATACAAGTTTATACAGAGTACAGTCCCTTTGTTTACAGGAACTGAGTGCTGTGATCCTCTTGATCATTTCAGTTCACAGCCAATTCAACCATCAAAGTTTTAATGAAGACACCTCATTGTGAGGCTTGCATTCAACAATGTATTTTACATGCATGATTGTGGCATATGGAGATTGCATATAACCATACTGCAACAACCATTGCAACACAGTTTAAATGCAATCTAATTTGTATTGAGCTAAGACACTGATGTAAATTGCGTGTTCAATCAGTATTATGCCTACATACAATAGATGTGACATAACCATAGAATATTGAAAAAAGCTGATGTAATTTCTATCCCTTGTGATTTGTTGTGAATACCTGGGAAGTTTACAAATTGTAAAATTATTTTAATAACATAGCCATCAGAAATACAACTGTTTGTCTTAAAAGGTTCATGAATAATGAAATCAATGCTATTTGAATATCAAGAATATCCAGAAACAATTACTACTGGTATACACATTTATTCAATACCATATAATTTAATAACAGGAGTCCGAGTGCCACCCTAATTTGGGAACTTTGATTTCAAGAATGCAATCAAACGTTGTTAATGCAGATTTTTACAACAGACATACAATTAGCCCCCATACCTGTTCATTCATTCATTCATTCATTCCAATGCGATCGAATGGTCATGGTGAATGAAGACACATGTTCATACATTCCTCTTTTTTGTTTTTTTTGCCACAACAACTATATTTTGAGTATTCATTGTCCTTTGAGATGTCAAAAGTTGTCATGCAAACTATCAGTAAAATAAAATATCAACATTCTCATTTTTAAAGGAATACTCCATCTTTACTGTGAGAGAATTTATTATCCAATCCTGCAGCTCGTTTCATCATCTGTTTCTTCTTTGCATCGTCAAATTGGTTCACGTTAAGGTCACGTTCACGATCAAATGGTCGTCTCTCAGTTGATTGTACTCCATCTTCCTCCTAAAATACACAGAGTGATAGATACATTAAATCCCTGATATTGTTATTCAGAAACAATCATATTTCAAAAGTCATCAAGATTATTATTGATGTAATATGTCAACACAAAAAGAACAGGTCTCCATGCTTGCTTTCATCTTTCATGTTGCAACAAACATATTTTTTTTTTTATTATTTTGGTGCAAGAAGACATTTTTATACATATCATGGTTGTTTCTGTCTCTTTTTTATGTGCATTCACAAGTAAGTGCTAAACCTATAAATTACAGAACATTTTACCATAGATACAATACTTTTGACTACCATTATGCCAATTTAGTACACTACTTCTGCACTTTCAGGCCTTTACCTTAACCCAAAGTTACACGCTGTGGTTTATATGTGATTAGTATCTGCTGCAAAGAATCACTATGTTTAATTACATGTTAACATCACTGGGATGTAACATAGTATTTACCCTGTCATGTATTGAGTGTTCTTTCTGTGTTTTACTTCCTATGTTAGCAGCTACTATTTACTGTGCTGTAGTGTTACTTTCACTATCTGTACTACCAGATGTCTGGCTAAACTGTGTGACACGGATTGGCATCAATGAGTTTGATGGTCTCTGCATATAATAAACTAAGTTATTAGGCTTTCTTTATTTTGGATGCCTGGTGGACAAAAGGAAGACATGCCTTGACATTTAGCTAGGTAATTTTATGCCATGTGAGACTGTTGTTTTCAGTTACACAGACAGTATTTCCATGTTTTACTTACTGCTTTCCGTTTTCTATCTTTTGTGTGTATTTCCATCAAGGTGGCTGATCTTCTTCCTTCATTGTGTCGGGCAACTTGTTCTGCAAGTTTCTTGTCTCTTTCTGTCATCACTCTTGCCTCAGGCTTTCGCTGTTTAGCTTTTTCTCTTTCTGTTTCTCGTTCCTGCAATTCACAAATGTGGGGATAATCACTGCAGGTAAGTGTACCATATTTGCTATATTTGTAATGCATGCTCTTACATAAATGAGAGGTGTGTCTACAGCCAAATAAGGGCATATATTAATAAACTACGGTAGTACCGGTAAACTTTAAACATAAATTTATGGTTTATGTGCACTTCTATTAGAGATTCGCTTCAGATAAACTGAATATAGTACAGTGGAAACATTCTGTCTACCAAGAAACTTAAACTGCTTCCATAAATTCAAGCATTGATATATGGTAGGAAGCCAATAAAAGAATCAAAACTATGCAGTGGTTCATAATGACAACTGAGGTGTACTTGGATGTCAACAGTATATGTTATTTTGTGCTTCATAATTTAGAGATTTCGCATACCAGAAATAAAACAAATTGAGTTGTCATGGTGATGTATCAACATTCAAAAACTGATTGTAATTTCAAAATTCATCAAAAGGTTGAAAACTATTTATTTTGTTTTGTTTGCCCCCTCACATACAGGGTTTAAGTTGTCAGTGCTTGTCCTATTGCTAACATGAATGACACATAAGGAAATGAATGAATTTGTTGAATTGTCTCAAAATTGTGAATGAATATCATTTATTATAAATTTTTTAATAAATTCAAAAAAAAAGTATATTCCAAGTTATTATTTTACACAGATTTCATATCTGGATATCTTGGATGTATTGAGGTCAGTAGACAGTAATGAACTACAGTCCCTAGCAACTTATCTGTACCATTCCTTCAAATGACATTATAGAATTTACAGAAATATGGTGTGATTTTACTACTGGTAATACCAGTACATTTATATATTATTCATACTAGGTTGCAGTCCCTTGAACTTTAATAATGATTTTACAATTGAAAAAAACACAAAAACATTATTAAATTATGATGATTTTACAGCATATTCATAAATACCATGGCCTTCCTTGCTGTATCTGCTGGTGTGTCAGTCCAAACTGATCTGTCTTCATTTGAGGGAGCTGCTTTTTTCCTGAATGTTCTTGCTCCTAAACCAAAGGCTTTTGAATACTCAGGTAATTCAGTCATCCAAGATTCTCTTGCGGGAGCTACATCTTCATCCTTGAGTGATGGAGAAAATATTTAGATAAGAATTCAACTGTGAAAAATCTGGTATGATTATACTGTAAAATGACTAATTTTCACTGGGTTTAAATTTCACTGATTTAGAACAGGCACATTCAGTGGGTTTTAAATTCACGGTTTTATCATTTCGATAATGCTCAACTTTACATATTCACTGGGTTTTAATTTAGCGCATTTTCCAGTCAGCGAAATAAGCAAAATGAATAATTAATCATTTTACAGTATTACCTTTATAGGTACCCTTCAAGATGATTACACTGTAAATATACAGGTGTAATGTAACTCCTAAGCTGGCTATCAGCTGAATTTGCCTCATAAAACTTAAATTATTTCAGTGAGTAGTATTGTCATCAATAATTTTAACTTATTCTTTGCAATTAATGTTACTTATATGAGATATATTTAAGTAGAATAGTCTGCATGATTCAGATATATGGTGGTTTTGAAAGCAAGCTAAGACAGCTTTAAGTCTAAGTGAAATGTTAGGTTATGCTTGGACTTGAACTGTAAGAGTGGTTTTGTGCACTGCTGCATACTCAACACTCATTGGATCTTAATGGTTTGTTAATTCATAGAGAATTTATATCATCGCCCAAAGTATCAAACACGAACGTATATGGAAATGACTGGAATTGAACAACAATAATTTAAAAACATTAATTACAGAATTAACTGAGTTATTTCAACTTTTGTGTTCTGGTTGAAAACTAAATAATATAGGGTGGCATTATAGTACATGCTTAAAAAATGAAGATATAGCTAGGTTAACAGCATAAATATGCTGCAAACTTATTTTAAACATCATTCATATTATTTTAACAGAAACACATGTAATTTTAATCTTGTGTGTCACATAAATATTAGCATGTAACTTGATGAATCAAAATATCATTAGTATCTAGCTATTTCTGTACAATAAGGTTTTTTGAAAATCATTCTGGATAACCATTTTGTAGACATCTCTTAAACATTCTTACTTTCTTATTTAGCCTGTCCTTCATGGCTTGTGCTCTTGCTTCAAATTCTGACACCACAGAACTTTGTACTGGGCCCGTACACGGCATTGGTCCAATCATAAAATCCTCATCCTCTGACGATGAGCTGCCTATATTGTCATGGCAACCAGATGGTTGCTTGGGATCCTCTGTAGTGTCTTTCTGTACATGGAAACCAGGAGGTAAAGCAGGGCCCATTACTTTAGTATTAATTGTATCTTTTTCTTCTTCGGTGTTCTTTTTAGCAAATCCCGGCGGCAGTGCAGGGCCATACAAATTCACATTAGATGTTTTTTCGCTCTGTGGTTTCTCTTCTAATTGTTCTGCAGTTTTCTCTTTAAAACCAGGGGGTAAAGCAGGTCCCATGAACAGTGGTGTTGTAACATGCCTCTTTCCATATACGGGCGGAGAAGATGTCTTGAATCCTAATAAATTAGGAATCACATGAAATGTATTGTCAGGAAACAAATAATAAAATTTCAAGATCAATTCTTTGTTTTACCACCATTTTCATTCATACAAAAATCGACAATTACGCGTAAATACTATTACTATACCTGGGGGTAGTGCTGGCCCTGCACATATTTTTTCTTCTGTTTCTAAATCTCCTTCACTATCACGATCACTGTCATTTATTTTTTTGAAACCGGGAGGCAGCGCTGGCCCGATGTTGGAAGCCATGTTGAGGTCAAACTGCCAACCGCGCATGAAAAGAGCAATTTGATTGGCTATCATGAGGTTGAACGTTGCTTTGGCCAATCCAATGTTACTTTACAGAGTAGTGTTTATTTGTTCGCGTTTCTCTTCGTCAAGAGAGGTCAACACGTTATAAACAATCTGTAGAGTAAAACATGCCAAAAAACAAAGGAGGCGGAGGGAAGGGGAAAGGGAAAGGAGGCGCTGGGGGTATGTATTTTTGCTTGACATGTAAAACGTGTTATCGTACAGCATGCAGTTAAACAGGAAAGTCTTATCAGGATTTTGTGTATTTTGGGAGCTTCTCGGAATCTAACTTTAGTGCCAAGCATTCATTCAATCTGTTTGCAGTTTTAGCAGCTCTGATTGGCATGCATGTGTTATACCGTGTCAATACCAAAGACAATGTGACAAGGACCATGGATGTAAAGTCCTCAAAGACAAAACATTGATTTTTTTCTAGTGTTTTGCTGTAGACATCATATCAACGTATTAAATATATGTATGTCGTGGTAAAAATAATAATTCATCAACATAAAATTCATTGATTCTAGATAATTAATTATCGACCTGTTGTACTATTTTTTTAATTTTTTGTCATCTAATGATATTTTCTTACTGAATGGCTATCAAACATTGCAGTGCGGTACATATACTAGTAACTAACCTAACATTATCCGCAATAGGACTGCATGGACAACCAATCAAATGGCTTTTTAGCTCCGCTGTCGATTTTGTCGAGCGGATCTTATCATATGAGTGATTGTCCGTCGGCGTCGGCGTCCGCCGTCCGTCGTCGTCTGTCGGCGTCCGTCGTCGTCCGTGTCAATGTTTTACTTTTTCGACTTCTTCTTGAAAACTACAAGCCTGAATGCTTTGATACTTGGTGTGTATGTACCTGGGGTACACCTCTCTTAGATTTGTTCATTTCATGATGATATCTTCAATTTTCTAATTTTGGCGAATATTTTTGTAATTTTTGGTAAAAAAAGTTCTAATGATATCTTCAGTTCTTCAATTGAAATGTGCCTTGCTAACAGCGGAGCTATCTCAGCCGAGAAGCTGCTTGTTTTTTTACCAAAGCCTGTTACTGTGTGTATATTTGGTACATGTGTTGCATACTAGTAGTGCCAACATGTATACTTTACAAATTGTTGGAAAGTTGATGATTCAAATAACCATCATGGTTTGAATAACTAAATCTATTGCTTAGCTTAAGACTGTGCAGTGGTGTTATTTTTTATGTTCACCTTCCTCAAGATAGCGTTTTCTTCACTGAAGCATGTTTCTAGTATGTATGAATATTTCGCCGCTGCGGTGTGAACAGTGAATCTGTTTGGGGGATATTTACATCAAAGTGGTGCAAATAATGGATCCATTTCTTTTATTTACACCATTGTGGTTTGAAAAGCGGATCTGTGTCTGTTGTGTGTACCACTGCAATGTGAATAGTCTCTGCAACTTTCTTCTTTTAATAAATTTATTCCCAACACTGCATATTTTACATTGTATATTAATATTCAATTATACATTTAATTAATGACATTATATTTTGTAATTTGTCTAGTGCCCTTGTATTTCTTTTAAATCCAAGCACCAACATTAAACTAGAAAACTTACTGTGATATATATATTATTAACAACTGATAACAAATGTATAATCTAGGTAAATCAGCTGATAGTGATGACACAAAAGGAAAGGCAACGAAAGGCGGTACTACTGTAAAGGTGAGTACTACAGAATATTCAGGGATTATTATATTTGAATACAATAGAATGTTGTTTTTCAAAACTGGGCCGAAAGTGATAAAAAGACAAAGTTTAGTTATGTCATATTTAGTCCCTGTTCCAGGTGCAGCCAGAAAAGGGGAGTATAGTTTCTTATTTCCGGTTTCTGTCTTTGACGTCTCTAACATTTTCTCAGAAATTCTGCAGCAGATATTGATGAAACTTGGTAGGTTGATAAATAAGGCCGAATAAGCACATACTTTTGAGTCTTTTTCATGATTTTCATCCAAAATTACCTCTCCCAACACCACTGAGAGAACAACTGAGCATGCTCAGAATAAATAATTAGCTTAGATTGTAATGCTAGAGTTTTTAGTGATGTCATGACTTGGTCATGACCTTGATCTGAATCAGTGACAGATGGGTTGTACCATTACCAATCTCTGTGGAAATTGTAGAGGGGTGTCAGGGATACGAATTGTGGGGAATTATAGTGGTGATACTGAAACAAACCCAGGTCCTGGTAATATACAAAGACCTGAATTAACAAAAAAGTCAAGTTGTTATTAAAAATACATCAAGGTTTACTCAGATTTATGAATGCAGTTTCTTGAGCATGTACACATGTATCAGACATAGCTTGGTTGCACTTGTGTACTCTGAGATTTTGGAAGTTATCAGTACAATACTATATTTAGGGAAATCACTTTATGATGAATTGTATCCACATAGAGTACATGTTCCATGTATTATTTTAACATGAGTATTTTATAATTAAATGACTGGGACTGTGACATTCATGTCCGTTTTTTTTTCGGACTTCATTTTGAATGAGGGAAATTTATTATTGGTTTCTGTGTGTTGCCTCTTCTGATGCCATAACATTTGGAAATCACAATCACCAGATGAAAGCAGCAATGGAAGTGTTCAGAGGCACATTTTATGCATCAACTGCCTCTTGAGATATTAAAATACTTGATGGCTCTGGCTGTGGTACCTCAGCTAGGTCCAGTCAGTATCAAATGTCAAAACTCGTAATATCATACAGAATAAATTACATTCTTGGTTTAGGTCAGACATATACTCTGTGAGAAGCATTCAAAGGTGATGGAAGCAATGGAGAAACTAAAAGCTGGGGAAAGATTTAATGAAGTTGCTACAAAGTACAGTGAAGATAAAGCCAGGCAAGGGGTATGTGCACAATGCTCTGACCTCTTTGGATAATTATTAAACTGCATGTTGTTCAACTATTATGATTCCGCAATGATCTCATTGAATAGGAATTCGTATCATATATTATATGTACCTGCAACTTGAGTAAGACATTTGATTCAGTAAAGATTCTGTTGTACCAGTCAAAGAGAACTGATCAGGAGTTTCTTTGAGTTTCATAGGTGTACATGAAAATCGGAAAATATACAATGTATTAAAACTTTCAAAAACCAAATATAAAGCAAAATCTTGTATATTTATTTGGCTGAATCAGAAAATTTGTGTTCTAAAAGCCACTAGTCTGTGTTGTATGTTTATTACTGGGAAAAACAAAGCCACAGAAGAAAATCATCGTATATGATGCCATTTGTTGTTCTTGATCATGATGGAGAAGACACCTGACATTTAATTAATAACACAAATTGATTTCAAAAGTATGTTGTCAAACAGGTGAATGTATAGAAAATCAACTTGATTTGTTTTGGGTGTGAGAGGAGAATGGTGTCTCACTCAAGTTACTTTAGTTGAAACTACTGGTTAATAAATATTAATGCTATTTTTTATCTGACGTATTTGCAGGGTGATCTTGGATGGATGACGAGGGGTTCAATGGTTGGACCTTTCCAAGATGCAGCATTTGCTCTCTCTCCCAGCACAACAGGCAATCCAGTTTACACAGACCCACCAGTCAAAACAAAATTTGGATATCATATTATTATGATAGAAGGAAAAAAATAAAACTTTTATATTATGTACTCCTACATACATACATAGCGAATGGTCTTTACAACCTTTGGCCTCTCTGATTTATCTTCAGAAGTAACAATAATACAACCAGTTAAACACGAAATAAGACTCCATATAATACCCTATATACAATACCCAATAAGATCATTTATTTAGTGAGTGTCTTGGATGTTTGAAGAAATAATAATGTGTATTGGATCAAGTAACAGTCATGTACACCTGCAACTTAATAAATACTTAATTATTGTCATTGTACAAAGCTGGAATGACACTACGTTTTAAACGGGATGTTTTTTTTTTGTTTTTTTTTAAACTACCATATTTGATCAGAGTGCTAAGACATGTACCCCGGTAGTCCTTTTACCAAGTTCAAACAAATTTGCAAGTGTATGTTATTGTGTGCAGACAGGCCCAAAATAGTAAATGTATTCTATGGCAATGTGGTCATGCCAATAAGTATTTAAATGATGGTAGAGAATTGTTTTCCAGACAAAAGAATACATTGGAAAGTCTGACTTGAACTTCACAGCAATATCTAAGGCCTTGGTGCCCGTCCTATGTGCTTTGAAAACTGAGTGCCCTTTCAACTCAAGAATTCAAGCCCTGCACGGTACTTGCCCTAATGGAGCATTTATTGTATGTATCTTCAAAATGACTAAATTTGACCATATACACACCTCTGTCATTTCTATAAGACCCTGTGCTACTAATACCATGGCGCAAATACTGTAACCCATGTATAGAAAGGTACTTTTGTTATCACAAATCTCATATACGACTACGGGTATCTAGTTTTCAGACCTTAATGGTTGAGATAATCAAACATTATTACATTTGATTTATACACTGATTTCATATAAATGTACCTCTGATAAATCTGTTCAAAGAGTAGCTGTATATTTACCCTTTTCACCACCAGATTTTCCCGCTCCTATCTTATATGAATATTTCTGAAAATGAACCCCAATTTTGGAGCCAACAGATGTTTTTACTCAACAAATTTGGTTATTTTTTTGTCCAATAGCACTATTTTGTGAATTTGTGATGAAAAGAGGGAACTGTTGATTGATGGCCTGACACCGGATTCCTAGAAACAGTGGATTTTCAAAATATCTGTTTGTTCAAGCGCATTTTTACATGCCAATCAATGATCAAAAGAACCTGTATCACAACACATAACAATGGAAGACAAATGTAGGTCTTGATCATTATAGCCCCTCGATACTGATGCATATCACGCAACAACATCCATTTTCATTTCTAAGGTGTCTTACTAATGTTGGAATAAAATTTAACTGGATTTGTTGGGAGATATTCCAATATATTAACCTAATTTGTTCACAACTGGAAAACTTACTGGGAGATTTGTCAAAAATGAAGCATTGTAATGGACACAGAAGAGATTATTGAGGAAAAGTACCTTTCAGTATAACCCATTGTGTGCCATTGAGCTAATAATATATGGATATGTAGCTCCATGTGTTAATACATGCCAAACTTGTATGAAGACTACAAACTTCAACTACGAGTATGTGTTCTTATACATGTTATCAACATGCAAGTAAGTACACGTTTCAAACATTTTCAAGTGAGTCTTAACATGAAAGTTTAGTATATCATATCTGTTAAGAATACAGGACTAAATTCTCTGTCATCGTAATTTCCCTTTCAATCCTAAATCATGCAGGCTCAGGATACACATCTTGAAGCATGTTTACAGAGAACTGTTGCCAAGTCTAACCATGTGAGCAAAATGCTAATTACATGATATTTTTTGCCACACTTTATTAAAGTGTTATAAAGGACAAAATCTGTGTAGATTTCAAGTGCATAGGAACAGAAATTGATATTACATTAAAAGAAATAACAGTTCGTCATTTGTATTGTCCACTAAATAATATTTTTAATCACCACCCTCTTGGTTGTGATTTTCATTGTTTGTCAGATCTCCAGCTGTGGATATCATTCCATAATTTTCTTCAAATAATTCACTGACGTTATCAGCCAGAACACAGACTGATTGAGCTAAAAAAAAAAAAATCTGTTCAGATGTACAAATGAATAAAACAATTGTTGGAATTTGTATATCATAACGAAAAATGGTCCTAGACAAATCCTCAAAGCTATTTTTGGTCCTCATCTTCTCGTTTACGTTTAAGTCCCGTTGTGATGACTGTGTGTGCTGGTACTGTAGGTGCCATGGAGGTGGTCGGCATTATTCTGACGGTGAACGGTGTACCCACTGTACTCGGCTTAGATGCTGGTGTGCTCATTACTGATGTTGGTTGTAGGGTTGTATTCGGTGTTGCTGTAAAACAAACAAATCATACTTGCATTTCATTATTATATATGAAAATGAACGAAGACAGTAAGTTGCAAACACAAGTGTAGTCACAGCAATCACTGTGAAATTCATGTTGAATGTCATCACTTTTCGTGTGTTCAAATAGTGTGTGGGGGGAAATCGTGTTTTCAAAGAGATAGTGTCAGAACAGTTACTCAAATGTTTTGATGCAAGTCTTAATATTGCCAAATAAAAGATTTTGAAAATATTGCTTAAATATGGTTAATATTCAACTGAGCAGCAAAATCCATTTGTTGCTGTAACTGCAAAATTGCCTCATTAGTGTAATTCGTTAAAATATATGAATAATACAAACCCAGTGTTGGTTTCATCAAATGACTCATTCCCTGTGTTGTCACCATGGTGATAGCTGGTGATGATTTTGTTACTATGGAGATGCCACTTGGGGTTGTGATCCTATTTGTTGTTATTGACATTGGAGTAGATGGTTTGGTGACTAGATTCAAAGTTGGCAGTGGTTTACCCAGAGTTGTGGTGCCTACAACAGTGTACAATATCAAATACAAAAGAATCAGTGACATTTCTCGTTGGTGATGCTCTAGCGTGGTATCAATATACAAGCTTGAAGATATATGATTTTGATTACATTTTCGATGATTTGCGATCAATTCAACTTAAATATTAATAACAAATTTTAGCAAAAATGTGTGCTTGAATGCAATTACATTTCTTGTAAGCAAGCACAAGTAAATAGTGAAAATGTGTTTTTTATTTTGGTTACGCAATCTTGCTCATGTAATATCAAAGCAATCGGACTTGCGGTTTTTAACAAGAAGTCAAAAATATCACTTTTTACCAAAAATAACAAAAATATTCACCAAAATTAGAAAATTGAGGATATCATCACAAAATAAACAAATCTGAGAAAGGTCCACATGTAGTACCTATATATGTAATATCAAAGCAATTGGACTTG